TTGTTGTTGTTGTTGTTGTTGTTGTTGTTGTTGTTGTTGTTGTTGTTATAGCATTTCAAAAGCTCCACCTCAGCATCCAGCTGTAGGCTCTGAGTCTATGCTCCTCTAGGGCTAAGTTATTCTCATCACTCCCCGCTCACCGCTAGCGCTGTTCGTATAGCATTTCACAGGCAGCAGCTCCGCCTCAGCATCCACCTGTAGGCTCTGAGACTTTGTTCCCCGAGAGGATAAGTTATTATCGTCACCCTCCACTCCCTGATGTGCTGAGCTCTGGGTTTCTTTATGGGGAGAGACGGAGCCTAGACGCAAAATATCAACCCTGTACATATTCTACATTCACACACTCATTCCAGGTGAATCAGCTGACAGACCTTTTGTTTTAAAAATATGTCTGATACCATCTCCCAAGAACATGAATCAACGCTTACCGTCGTGGTTGGGGTTGCCCAGCGTCCACGGTTCGTCTGAGTCAAAGTGGGTGTCGCCTCCTATTCCCGGCCCTGGAAAGTAGGCGTGGGCCAGGAAGCCACCCTCGCCATCAAAGGGCGAGCTATCGCCGTGGAAACCCGAAGCGAAGATGATGGTGATGTCCACGTCTTTCTTGGTCCTCTCCAGCTCGCTGTAGGGCACGGCCTCGAAGCGCAGCGGCGTTACATTTTGCCAGACGTCGAAGGCCCGCCGAATGGCATCGTGGGTCTCCTCTGCCCCCACTTTGGGTGTCACGTTCTTTATGCTGCAGAGACACGGGAGGGAAAAGTTAAGCCTCGAGTTGGGATTTCTCCTTCAGCTGTCAGGATGAGCAAATCTATTGTAAACTGGTCTGATAAGACTGTTGGGTTCTTTGAGCGTAACACAGGGAAGAGTGGCCGATTCCGCTGGATGTCCACTCAGAGCTTGAGATATGGTGGGATATAAAAAAAAAAAAATAGTCAGTTTACAACGGTTGAAAAAAAACTAAAACACACACCATGTCAATCTACACAATCACAGTATCCAAAACTCAAACATCCATCCCGATGCTTGTTCTCCCCGCATGCTGCCATTTCACGCTCATCGTGTTCGCCAGCAGAAAGCTAAATGAAGCGATTTGAGAGGGAAGAACAGCTGAGTCCTCCCTTGCCGGCTTTGAGTTGCTGCAGGTGTGGAGAGGACGGGACAGTTCCCTGCCACTGAAAGTTATTTTCTAATTACGGATTATCAACAGCCCACTGGCTGCCGAGAGCCCCAGTCAGGTTCGGGCAATCACGAAAAAACCTGACTCCACTTTATTCGCTCTGAAAATATCTCGGTGTCACGCTCTATTAAAACGTGGTTTCTCTTTTGGGATAGACGGATGGGTATAGTTTGCGTCATCCAACTGTAAACACACACATACACGCACACAATACTCTATGTCTTCTTATGCCTGTAGCGCTGTGTCTGAGTTGAGATCAGTTGATAAGTGTAGTGTGTAAATAAAGTGCCAATTTAATTTTATTTATTTTTAAATAAAATTCTTCTTGCTCAAGTGTTTTTTTCCCTCCCATCCCATTTCCTCTGTGCATTTCCTGTAACCTCTCTCTTGTTCCCTTTCTCCTTGTGGTCCTTCACAGCATCTGTGTTTGGCTGTCATATCCCATTATGGCAATAAATATTATCAGGACGTCTGTTACTCATCTTTTTTTGCGTCGTGGGTAGACTGCTGCAAGGCACATCTATATACTGCATATTAATATTGTATGTTAGCTAAGATTAATTATTAAATCAAACTCAGTGAAAAGGGAAGCATAAAGGCTGGTTATGAAATATAAATAGAGTGTCGGCAATTTCATTTCAAATGTTCTAATTGCTTGAACCAAAGAATAAACTGTTTCTGTTTCTTGGTCTGCTCTTTCTAGACAGACTTGCTCACAGCTGACTAGCACTTCAGCAAAGATGAGTTTGCTTTAATTACTCTCTCACAAGCTTTGACAAAACCTTCACTTTCAGCTAATGACTTTCTGTTTTGACAGACAAAATGGAATTTATGTAATTGTATAGACAAACTATCACATTATTAAGTTGATATGATGAACATGTTAGCGAACAGTGACTCATCAACACATTGAGAAGCATTCATCTGGAGTCACGTGTGTGTCGAGCTGATGAAAGTGAGTTTACCGTTTACTCCTCCTTTAGCTCTAGTTTTGGTCTCCACCGACCCTTGAGGGACATATTTGGCTCTACTTGCTAATTTTGCTAATTGTTTGTACAATAGGTTTCAAGAGTTATTGTTTTTTACCATCAGTCTGCTGTGCCGGAAAACAACACAGATGAGAGCAGTGAGAGTGAACCACAACAATCACGTTTTGGCCCGTTACACCACAAACAATGAACTGAAGAACACTAAAAAGGCCTCGAGCCTCAAGCGGCAACAAACCTGTCTGGATGGCGTGTTGTTGCTTGCATCTAAGATTTGTCGTAAGGGATGTAAATTGTGATGAATGATAGTGTGGAAATGTGTGTGTGTCCTCAGACAAGTGTGAGTAATAAATGCTCGCATCTCAAGATTTGCCAGAACTCTTGAATTACGGAAACATCAAGTGAAGTGTTGGTAGTGCGATGGTTGGCTGTTGAGTAAGCAAACGGTCTCTGTCTGATTGGGGCCACTTACAGAGGCAACACAAAATGGCCCTTTTGTCGTTTGAAGTGCTGATGCAGAGCAGATAGAGGTACAAGTCCTGCTTTCATATCAATATCAGCTGACCCAGAGAGTGTCTGCAAAGACACGAGTGTTTTCGCCGAGATTGAAATAGAGAGAAACTGTTGTAGCACCTGAAGTGTTCCCAATGAATCCTGTGCATGTCCTTGCTCTGTCTGGGGTTACAATGAAAGGCTTTAGCAGCAACTGTGGCCCCTTGAGGAGTACAGAGACGGTTTCATCTGATTCTATTACCCGGCTCACCGTATGCGTGTGTCCTATTTTAAGAGTAAGAGAGAAGCGCGCGCAGACGGAGGCTGCAAGACGACGAATGAAAGAATCACCAGCCTGCTCTGAGGCCACGTAAAATATTCAACTCCATGTTGTGAGGTGATAATGATTCCGGATGCAACTCATCTGCTATAATGGTACCTGCATGCAGGGAGAACTGTAGGCATGCCAAAGCTAATTAGTGCCTTCCCGCAGCAAGTACTGTATGTGGCTACATGGAAACTAGCGCACACTTGGGGTGGCCATGCATTTGTTATACTTCCAAAATACCAGACTTGTTTATTTTTTTAACAATTCGTTTTGAACCGTTTGACCATGTCTGATTGTCTGACTGCTCGTGTTTGTTGCAGTGACCGTTCGTAGATCTCAGCAACGTCACTTGGCTGGTACAACATTATCATAACCAATGGCCAAAACAAAACAAAAATAAAATCAAAGTTTGTCTCAAAATGGTAAAGAAAATGAATGTGGACATGCGACACACAGAACCGTCACCGGTTATCGTTCATTGATGTTATATATAAAGATATAAAATGAGCTTCATTCTCTAACTTTCTCCATTGCACCAATTTGAGTTGAAATGAGCAGCTACGGGCACATCCGACTGCTGACTGGGGGCCAGGCACACATCCATGTACCCCACACACACACACACACACTCACACTCACACTCACACTCTCAAAAATGCTCCCATCCGATAACCCTAATCTGTCAAGAGAGCACCCTCTGCTTTCCACTAGGGTTTCCTCCTCTCCTCTCAGCTCATCTCTTTCTCTGTGCAGCTGCTTCTCCTCCAACCCCCCCACCCCCTCAATTCCACCGATCTACTCCTCCACTTTTCATCAAGCCCACTAATTTTCTCCTTTTCAAATCTGCGCCGCCACAGAGGAACCATGCACTCATGGTACGAACTCGGAAACCAATCCCAGTGTTGTGTTTTTAAGAAGAGAAAATGCACAGGCATGAATCAGTGATGTACAGCCCTACTTCAGCTGTAGGTCGCTGATGCACTAGATTATATTCAGCATGTAATACTGCTTATACATTTATCCTCAGGACAGAGGAGAAAAAAAAAAACAAGCCCACTTCTTGAGGATTATCCCATGTAACATGGGGCTGGGGGCAAGCATCGGCATGGTATGTATAAAATATTACAGAATGTGGGCTACTAAACTCACTGAATCAACAGAAATATTACATAACATGTTGTCCTATATATCATTACTCATGTAGCTGCATGTCAGAATTGGGTGATGAGATCTCTGGTGCATGTATGGCTCTTGCCATATCGGAGGATAAAGCTTGCACAGTCCCGGCTTTAAAGAACACTGTCTTTTTAGTGTGTAATGGTTGCAGTTTGGCTTAAAAGCAACTTCGGATTAACCTTTGGGTTTGCAGCTTTCCATCCTTCATATAAATCTAAATATTGTGCTCAGAAGTTGCTCCTTTGCTCCACAAGAAGAAATTGGGAGACAGTTAAAAGTTCTACCAAGACTTGGCTGTTTTAAATGGGCTACCATTGTTTAAAGCTTAAAGGCAGGATAAAAAAAAGAGAGCAAGAAGTGCATGCAAACAAACGATAGCAGGCTGTTTCCTTTTCTGTCTCTCTCTCTCTCTCAATGGAATGTGCATCTTAATGAAAAGGTCAACGGCACTGGTTAAGTCATGAAGCCCTGTTTGTGTGCACGTGCCTCAGTCTGCGCAGATCATTTCTTCGGGGCTGTGGGCACATACTGGGCTAATCATGTTAGCCGGATGTCTTCACAGCTTGACAAAAGCCCCTTTGACGGGTCGAGTCAGTGTGTGGGATCGTCTGTGCGTGTCGATGGTGGTTATGGGGATTGGAGGAAAACCGGGTTATTGTGAAGCTGCCTCTACATGAAGCAAACAAGCTTGACCGGCGTGATCTTGGCACATTTTAAACCCACCCACCTGTATGTGATGTGTTTGTGTTGCCACTTCTGTCCTGTCAGGGCGTACCGCCGTTTCCTGACACTGAATTTGGATGCGCCTCCTATCTGGTCGGGAACCCCACATCTTGGCTTCTTCATCCACCTGCACGAAAAAAACGATAGGAGGCCATCAATCATCATTCTAGGGGCGCATACTTTTGAAAATTCTTTCATTCATTGTATTTCAAATTCTGATCCAATGTAGCTCTTCACATTCGTGAACAGATGCAGACTTTGTTAACGCGTGAATTCGCTACACATAAAGTTACTTCAAAATCTAAACACAACACATGCAAGCACACGTTCACTCATGTATGACACACAGAAGGCGCCTCACCTTATCGTGTTATCGCTGCTTCGGCAGCGAGAAGCGGGAGGAGGAGAGAAGAAGCACAGGCACACCGTTAGCTCATCACGTTTCAGCCCAGCGGTGGGACAGCTGTTAGTCTGCATTCACACCGCTGGCCACCACATCGCCACGTCGCGGTTCAGTGGCCAATTTGAGCTCATTGCTATTTGTAGCACGGATGGCATTTCGGTGTTGGTGGGGACAAATGTCAGTGAACACAGTTTTTTTGTGTGTGTGTTTGGCAGGTAAAATGATGATGGCCCTGAGGGTTTAAACTGGGTATAACCTGAGCCGTTTAAAAACAAGAGCATTCTGTATATCATCTGTTTGATTTCTAATATCCTCACATAAGTAATAGGACTTTGATTCTTAATGCAAAGTATAATCTTATTAAAACCTCTTTTACAGGCCTCAGGTGGGTTTACCCTCCAGTACATCCATGTGGAGACTCCAGAGACTCTTCTCGTCTTCGTGGTTACAATAAAGTGAGTTCTTCCACTAAACCCACGTCGTCCTTGACTGCTGCGTTGAGGTTCGACCGATCGCGCGAGTGGCGACCGAACGCTGTCCCTGTTCTTCCACTGAGTATTAATACTTTGCCATTTCGCAGCCTTTGATCTGACAACAGAGGTGTACTCTCCGTGAAAGGCCCCTTTGATCGAATTAAGACGCCCCACTTAATCCGTGTTAGGGTAAGTTAGTGTCTTGGCAAAACCACTCTGGGTGCCTTCAGAATACAAAACGGGATGAATGAGAGACTGGTCCGCCATTTGTCCCCCGTTCTGAAGATGTCTTTGTGAGCTTCAACAATCTTTAACCGCTGCTTGTTCGTTTGCTGCGTGTTTTACCTCCTGGCTGTTGTTCCCTCCCGTTGTAAAATTTATGTTAAAACAACTTCAAATTTCAGTGTTGAATCAAATCATGAAAAACCAAACAGGAATAATATCTAATAATGTTTTGGTATTTCAATAATTAATCAGACTTTGGAAACATTTTACTCATTTGTTTGGAGATTTCCAAAGTAACATGCATGTAAAAGAAATGACACTACTTACACTACTAAATTAAACATTGCCGCTTCTTTGTACTTACATTAAACTCCTATGGAGTCACTGAATAACTGGCAGTGTCTTCCTTCCTGTTAAATGTCTTATAACTTCCGTCCACATTTCCTTATCTTTTGAGGGAACTCGTCACGATGAAAGCTCGGAACTCAAAGTCCCCCCCTTCAAAACATGTGACTCACCCTATAGTGCTGCTGTCCAGAGAGCCTGTGACATTGAGGCCGTAGCGGCGCTGCATGGCAGCGATAGCGGACTGCATGACTCGAGCAGAGCGCAGCACCGACATTCTGGGGTCTGCAGGAGGGAGGTAGCCGTACCTCTGGAGCCATGACTGCAGACAAAAGAGAGGGAGGGAAGGGTGAGTATTTACAGGGAAGGGGTTCCAGGTGACATGCTAACGTCTATGCAAAAGGAACTGTACACTGAGGGTTCAGGGAATTGCCTTATTCCCTGTTCTATATGACCTAGAACACTATTAAATCACCATCAAGATACAGCTTAACTACAGAAACATAAGTAAGAAAAAGATCAGCAAATGGATCTAAAGGCATTTTTCCAGTAAGAAACCTCCATACAATGTTATAGAGCAAAATGTCACTTGTTATCTTGTCATTTGGCTTGTCGGGGACAGGCTTTTGGTGTAATAGAGCTTTCTGTGTCTCTATAAAATCCTGCTGGAGGGAATCACAGCTCAGATCTTTGGACCGGGGCGAAGATGAGGGATCGGCTGGGCTCCCCACGGAAGAGGCTTTAGGGATTTGGATAGTCCCAGCCTCTCTGTACCCTCTCAGTCTTCATCATAAAGACGGCGAACGGACTCCGCCAACTGCTGCATTTAGCAACACAAAGCCAACCGACCAAAAGAAAATTCAACCAATAAAAAAGAAAAACAGATTGTACTGTGTCGAGAGACAACCCAAAGACGCAATGAGCTGTCTTTGACACTCTCGGCATCACCACGCCGCGAAACCTGAGCGCTATCCTCGTACACGATGTCGCCGAGCTGCTTCAGTCGTTCTAGAGGCCTGCTGCCCAGGATAGCATACACACTGAGAAGGTGTGTGCGGGGGTGGGGTGGGGGGGGTTGGCACGCATGGTGTGAGAGCAGGCAAGGAGAATGCAATAAAAAGGCAAACCGTTCTACAACAATGGCACAAATGTGAGTGTGCAGCTTCTGTTGCGGAGAGCGGGCCTCACTTCGGGCTCCAGAGCTCTCCAGAAACTCAATGGAAGGCCCGTTTGTATCTTTTCACAGAGAGCTACAAACTGGGGTGAAAAAACAAGACGCCTGTTACAGTACGAGATGGAAATCTTTGTGATTTGTTTTTTTTGTTGTGGTTGCCTAAACGTGAAATAGAGCTTTGGGATGTTGATCAGCTAACTGGCAGTGTGTGCACATAGCAGAGGAATGCCCAGAGGCCCGACCGCTGTGTGGATATGTGCACTACTGATTGTACAAAGCAGACCATAGCTCATCATCATAGCAAATGGATCTGTGGATGGTGAAAGCTCAATGCGGACAAACACCATGTGAGTAGAGCAGGGCAATGTCATTTCACATTTTAAATGTTGATAACTCCCAATATTTAAATGTTTTAAAACAAAATACCTTAATATTAATGTTAAATTCAACTCTAAAAAGAGTGTTATCATGATTGCTAAAACCAAGGAGGATCTAAATCTAAATATTCCTTTATTTTTTTTTTATGATGGTAAAAAGTGTCGTTGTTTTAGTTTTTTTTATATGGACTCATGTGTCTGAAATAAAGTTGAATATAATAATGGAATGTGGGGATTGCTGGTGGAAGTTGGTAAAGGAATACTTTGACATTTTGGGGGGGGAATGCGTCCTTGGTTTTGACGCTTAGCTTAGCATTAGGACTAGAAGCAGGGGGAAAAAATGGCTCTTGGCAAAGATAATTAACAAAAACAAAATAACGGCCCAACAACACTTCCAAAACTCATATATTCACTTTATATCTCGTTTGTTTAATCTGGACGAAAGCCGAACTGTAAAAACAACACGTTGTGGTTTTATGGGAGGTGATGTGGCAGACTTTTACTTGGCCGGGTTTCGCTGTTCACTTAAATAGTCTCGGGAAATTCAATGACTTAACCGCAACACCTCTTTAAAGATCTGGGAAAGACTAAACGTAAGACACCTCATTTTATAGATCCCCCGGTTTCCTAATATAATCCTGGAAAGGAACTAACGTGCAACTGTGAATTCATTACGAAGCTTCCTGGAAAGGACTACGTGATGGTAATCACTATGGAGGAAATCTAGACGCCGTCTTTTAGTCAGTGCAACCTGAGCAGACTTTATACCAAATAACATTTTCCCTCAGAAAACTTCTTCAGAAATCATGACGGTGAATTATGAACTGATGCCGATATCTTAAACTACACCATCTTCAATCTTGTAATACAAACAGAAAGAAGCCCGGATGCACCGAAACACAAAACGCCTTTTCGTGCTGGCATTAAAGGGGATGAGCAGAGAGGAAGCTACAGCCAGACTTCATCTTTGTAGTTTATGTGATTGGCACACCGACAACTCCCTGATTCTCTGCCTCCCTACTTCCTGTCCCCTGAGGCCTATAGGTAGGACCGTGCAGCGATGAACTCGCCGACTCTCATCAGCGCGGCAGATGTCCAACGCTACGTCACGGTTCACATTTCTTTGGTGTATGAGGTAAAATTCATAAAAACCGAAGGGGTTATGAAAGTGTAAACTGCGATTCAGTTTTGGGAAGCACGAACGATTGATTGAACCTTGTTTCACCCCGCCGAGGCTGGTTTGTTTCGAGCTTCTCTTTTCTTCTCTCGCAGCATTTCAGATCTTTCCCCGTTAAAATAGTACCACAGATACCAGCGTGCAAAGCTGAAAAGGGTATGTTTTAATCTCGCGGGAAGAAGTGAGTTGGATCGCGGAAAGGCACGCACACAAACTTAAATTAAAAGCTTTTGTAACGCAGCAAACATTACAGGTACAGAGAGAGAGAGAGAGAGTTATTGCCGACATTCAAATCTTACTTTTAACTCTGAAACTTTCAGAACTCGTGTTTATCCTCACAAATCTTCCAATTGTATCTGAAGGAACATTTACATTACATATTCTATATAGGCCTATAATAAAGCTTAATTCATTTAAATCTGGTATCACACATACACTTGTCTCCGTCATGTCTCTCCTGCAGTTCTTTGTCATCCTAACGTCTACTGCCCCCACTCTCGTCCTTAATCATCCCCGTCCCTCCCTCACATCTCCTCTGACATCGGAGGGTTTGTCATTGCGACCACGTTCAGCTTTGTCCTCCAACCACTGACTGCCCCAGTGAAATTTTCTGGTGAAAGAAGATATTGATGAAAACGTATACAGCTTAGACGTGGCACTGAACCAAAATCAAAACGCTGTGAGGTTGTTCTTTCCCCTCTTTGCAGTCTCAGAATGCTGCACATCTGGTAGATTGTGCCGGTGGAGAAGCACTGTGATCAACACGAGCTTCAGTACATCAGGTGGGTTTTAAAAAGACTCTGACCACTTTGTCCTGTGTGGGCGAAAACATCAAGGAACTGTCTAATAATTCAAAATTAATTTGCATTTACGACCTCAACATTGCTTTGTAGACACAAATGACTATGTTTACAGATACTTTTTTATTTTTAGACGTTTTGAAACCCTGCTCAGAACATAAAAAAAAGTGTGTACGAAATGTATTTGCAGTATGAGCTACACGGCTATCATGTAAATGAGCCGCAATGAAAAGCGAGACGGCGAGTTGTTTCGGCGGTATGTATTAAGTGAGGACAATGCAGCCATTATCAGACACAGAGTTGCATTAAAAAAAAGAGAGGCAGCAGAGATAGAGGGAGCTGGGACTGCTGTTAGATATGTCTGTCACTCACACATCGACAGGATATTGGATGGTGTGTGTGTCTGAATGCAGGAGGTGGTGTGATGGAGAGACACGGAGCTTCTTTCTATACAGCAAGACAGCACAATAAATGAATATTTGTACGCAGAATTACAGATAAATGTCATAAATACTGTACAGGGGTGTCTTGAATGCACATGTTTATATGCTTAAAAGAGTATTCCAACTTTTAGAATTGCATTTCAATATAGTTTTAGATTTTTTTGACCACGACTTTAAATTCGTAGCTTCCGAGGCCAAGCTGAAATAACGCAAAATACGTCACTGTGACATCACCAGGGTTGGGTTTCTCGTTTTTGCAAACTTTCCTCAGTTCTTCAGTCACGTAGAAAGCCTTCAACATCCGCAGTCAAACAGACACAGAAGTTGCCGCGGTTGCACTTCCAGAATCCTAACACACACACACCCTCAAGATTCAGAGAGAGGCCTGAGCTCAAGGCTCAAACGTATTAATACTGCATGAACTTTCAAAGATTGAATCCAAGCCTTTGATTCCATCATCATGCCGAAGGTTATAGATTTTATCTCGACTCGCGCGTTTATTAGTATTTCGTGACTTCTGTTGGGAAGAGTTATTATACTACGGTAGACTACGGTGACTGCTAAAGTGTGCCTCCCAGTGCATCGCTTCTTCCAGGATAGTCCCCCATCTTCTTCTTCTAATTCTAAAGAGACAAGAGTAGATCCTGGAAATGTGTTTTGCTGAATCACCACAGAGCTCTTTACTTCTTCCTCTACCTTTCACTCTGCTATCTGTCCTTATCTCAGCCTGTTTTCTTTCTTCCTCCTCCCCGCTTCTCTTTCTCATTGATCCACTCATTTGTCTTCGTGATCTATGGTTCCAGGTGTCCTGCCAATCTAAGACAGCCCCCCCCCCCCCCCCTTATTCAATAAGTCAGAACGTCCTCCCCGCCGTCGCTCCGCAAATGGATAACGAGGGAGCTTGTGAGCGTAGACGAAGAAAGCTGAGCAATGGGAGCGTTGAAGGAATTTGATTATTGAGAGTGAAGATAAATCTGTTAGAGCAGCTACCAACAAAGAATAGCTGCACTGCAACACGAGGAGGGGGAAATGCATGAAGCTTTCCTGACATCTGATTAAACAAAATTCTTAAATGTTTGAGGTTTCAAAAAAACAAAAAAAACACTCACCCCCAACTCTCACCCACATCATGATGCAACTCTCGTCCAACCCGCCAAGTGGGAACACGTCATCAAACAAAAATAAGCCCCTCATGTGTAATGCAATAATTATGCTGTTAGAAACGTAGCCGCTCTTCTGGAATGAGCGCGCCGGAATAATGAGGTTAAAAACCGTCTCCAGAAATCGAGGCACTCTTGAAGTGGAAAGATAAAGAGTCCACCAGCATGCCCTGATGAAGGCTAAAATGTCTGAAACGCATCGGTGCCTATTTTTGGGTTCGCCACACTTGATTTCCCTCCACTTTGAAGTCGATTTCTCTCATGCTTCTGATGGCGGAGGAGCCCGGCCTCACCTCACCTCTTCGCACAGAGCATTTCCTTTTTTCACCTTTGTCACACAGCTTGTGGTTTATAATCCTGGCCAAAAAAAAAGGACACTCAAGTGCAGTTACACAAGCACATCTGATAGAAATTGCACTGCGCTGGTTCTCTGAGGGATCTTATCAAGCCCCATGTGACCTTTCAGGTACAGAAAAGTCTCCAGCAGAGAGAACAATCAGACTCGGACCCTCCCCCCCATGCTTCCAACACACAGACGCCACGCTTCGGGAGAAAGAGATGGCAGAGAAGTGGAGTGAGTCAGAGGCCTCGCCCTCACACGGGCAGTGAGGCGAGGTGAGCGTGGAGCGCTCATGTCCCCGGGCCACCTCTGAACCAGCCGGCTGCTACCTGGCCAGCAGAAGGCCGGGACAATTAGCCAATGGGCTCCATCAAGAAAAGGCCGACCTGGAAGGCGATGGGGTCGCTCCATTATAGATGAGACGCGCCTCAGGAAGCACCCGGTCGTGCAGTGTGTTTGGCGCCGATCAGCTGATCGGAGCTCGGCCCCCTCGGGTTACGGGGACAGCGTGTTGACTTGTGCGCGCGGGCATGAATTGTTTATGGCGAGTTGGGGCAGCTCAGGTTTAGTCAGACTTTTGACATTTAAATGGGATTGACCACTTAAAGTGAAGCCATGTACAGAATGACAAAGTGACGTCAGGGGAGAGATCAGGTGATTAAGGCCTGAAAAATTTTACTTTGGGAACTGGCTGCTCTCCATGTCCTTTAATTCACTGGAATTAAGGTTTACGCGTCAATTTCTGTGACAGTCGCGTGTTATTTCATGAGTTGTCCTGCGCTACACACGCTGCAATACTGGAGGTAATTAGGCTCAGGACGTTCTATGAAATCACAGAATTACACTTGCTATCACAGCAGGTTCGTCACTCACCCTCAATGAGCTGCTCAGAGAGTAGAGTGTGTTTACAAGTCCGAGCTACTCAGAGAAGGTTTATAGGCAGAATGGGACGGAGGAGTCGAGCTGTACCTCGTGTATTCAAACAGCATCACTCACCTCGAGTACACACACTGTTCCTGCATGTTTGTAAGAGTTTATACCCATACTGCATATTATATGCACATACCGTCTGCAGCAGCAACATTAGTAATCCCATCATGCATCTGGTTTACAGCTTGGCCGTTTCAGCCTCTTTTGTCTCGGAATCTGTCGCAAAAGGTAACAGTGCTTATTAGTTTCCTAATGCTTGTGTAATTATCTTCAAACACCTTATATGGTATAATCAGACAGCCAATGAGTGCACGCTGTTCTGGATCTGGTTCTCGATACGCATTCTTTCATAATTCAGAAGATCCAACTGTCAAAACTGAGAATGGTAACTCCACACTCACAAACATCAAGGTGTGTCGCCTGACGTGACAGGCAGAGGGTATTGGCAGCCTTAAAATACCAGTGCGTGCCTCTGCTGTGGGCGAGTTGCTGTCAGTACTTTGCCACAGAGCCCTCCTGGTTTTCAGTCTCCTCATCTCATCAGTGAATGATTTACATCCAGGGATGCTGAGTGAATACGATGAGCTCCCCACTAGGACAGAAACATCAGCAGCAGAGGACCTCGCCCCGAGTTCTTTTGACATTTCAATATCAGGCCGACCAAATATTAGCAACCTAAGAAAGTTGAAGAAGAAAGCACATTTTTGGAATCATACCAGTCTGATACTTATAAGGATCATAAGATAATTGTTTGTGTGTGTGTGTGGTACGCAGATCCATCTTCAGGGTTTACAGTGGTACTGATCTCTCCAATTGTATGACATAAAACACGTCCCGTAACGGAGTCGGGACAGAGCGGCCGGAGCTCTGGGCACAGGTGACTCGTGGGAACAAGATCCCGTCCTCCTGGGGAAAGCCTGCCGCCGCCGACCGCACTGAATTATTCATCGGTTACACGCAGAACCACTGGCGAGTGTGCCAGGGTTGTCAAGGCAACCACAGCCCGTGCTGCCCACACCGGTAACCGCAAACCCACACACACACACACACACACACACACACACACACACACACACACAATTTAACTGCTGCACTTGAATTCATACTGTACGATTTGCATTTGCAAAAGACTCAACATGACTTTTAATAACAATATCATCTGCACCTCGTGACCCCAAAGCAATGTGATTATTGCAGAGGTTGGAACCCCCACGGTGCACACACAAACACACGCACACACGCTCTAAAGATACTTAATGCGCGCCATGTTCACCATCTCCGTGGCCCCATTAGGACAAAATGTCACCCTAAAATGTCACAGTCTGATCATACATACTGATCACAATTGTCCCTCCTAAAGTGGATCGTCTTTTGAGGATTTGTCCAAAGCATTTTGATGACTTAAGATGTTGGGAAAATGACATTTAAAAAAAGCCCTCCATACGCCCGATTAATATTCAAGTTATGTTTATGTTGGGATGAACTGTGACCACATATTCACACATGCTGGTGTAAGATTATGTCACCGCGCACAGAAACAGGCCGCAACAGTTGCCACAACACGCATCATTGCGCGGCGTAAAGAAGTACGCCCCCCCCCCTCGAGCGTTTGTGTCAACAGCTTAATTGACAGCCCTACATGTGAAGCCCCATTGGCATCAACTAATGTTGCAGTTTTCAGACACATTAAAGATTTAACAGCTCAGTAAGCTGTGACCGAAGATACATCTCAAGCAAGAGAAAGACTGTGTTGACATGCAGGCAGAAAAGATTGGGAACAACACACAACAATAACAAGTGGCTGCTGAGGAGAATCAGACATGTGTGTGTGTGTGTGTGCCATTATGAATCATTTAGGTCAGTGCAGGTGTTGTGTATTCTCTAGAATTGGGTGAACAGGCTGACACAGACACCCCAGTGGCTCCGAAATCTGCTCCCTTACCAAAGCCAAATGACGCCAACAATGCAGCGCATGTGTGCGTGTGTGTAAATAACTGACTCATCACAACAAAAATGGATTCATTCTTCTTTGTGTCCAGCACATTTGATGGAAATCTGATCATAGATTTTTGAGATACCTCGTTGACAGACTGATGCAATCCTCGGTAGAGTTGATTATTACAACTGACAGTCTGCTGAGTTTTATCAAACCAGCCTTTATGAATTGATTCCTCCATCTGAGACAGGACATCGACAGAGGGGAGAACTCCCTCTGTTGTACAGCAGATTATAAACCTGAGTGGCAGCCATAGTGGCGTTCAAACACTTAACGCGACTCGGAGCGAAGCACCGCACCTGATGCCTCTCTGTGAAACACCGGAGTTCAACCGAGGCAATGCGGCGCTTGTGAGGCTTTTGCTGCTTCCACGGTGTTCCTAGGGAAAGCTAAACAAATCCATTATCACAAATCCCAACGGGATAAAGCGAGGGTAGACTACAGAGCACAGAAATAGCTGTGACTGATACAATGAAGATTTTATGTAACCAGACAAATTTCTTTGACATACATGGAAACAAAATCATTTTAAAAATGAATATAATCCCGTTTCACTGCGATGTTTTGCAAATTCCTCAAATTAACACATCGTTCACGTTGTGCCTGCGTTCAAAGCTTCGGGGGTAGCGTGGACCCGATGTTAAAGCAGCACAGGCGGGAGAGCTTCAGCGACGCTCTTGGCCTTTAAACCTGCTAAATGTGACGGTGCATCTTAAAGTGCCGCAAAGAGTTCACAACCATCACTTTAGACCAAAAAAAGGGGTAGGGCAGTTAAAAACAGTTCGGGGCGGCGGTACGTTTGTGGCACCGAGCGACGACAACTCTTATGCAACATTCGATTCAAACACAGACACGGGAAAAAAAGATTAAAAACCCATTATCTCTCTATTAATTACTCCGTTATGTAAATGCTAATGATTAAAAATAATCCAAGAGAGCTCGACTGCTCGCAGAGCCCACCTACTGCATGTGGCCTTGCAGAGAAGGCATAGAAAGAATGACATATAAAATCAATGTGGATTGAACCAGAAAATAAAACTCACAAGGAGATGAAGGAGATGAACTCGTGGCTGTTGTTAATGGCATTGTCTAGTTTGCAGAGAAAATGACTTCTTGAGGGGAAGACAGTCGGATAAACTAAAGATGAGGAGCTCTCGGAAGGAAATTTCAGCAGTAAGCACACACGTAGAGTTATATGTTACAAGTTCGTATTAATTACAGTTTTATCAGCCGGTGACAGCCTGTACTTTCTGTAAAATGTAATCCAAAGCAAAGAAAATTGGAAGAAGGGAGAAAATTGGCAATTCAGCAAACTCGGCCATGAAGTCAAATCCAAGAAGTCAGCAATAAAGCCGCCATCCAAAACGTTTTCTCAAAAGACCGCAGTCTGACCGGCAATTATGGGAAAAAGGTTTTGGTGACCTCCCACCTCAGACCCACCTGTTATTTAGAGGAACTACTTTCTCCTCACCCTCTATGACCTGGTGGTGTGAGCGTACACACCAAGCTATCGGGAGGGGGCGGGGTTAAAGGAAAAGTGCGCTTGCTCTATGCTTGCTTTTATACCCGAAAGCAAAGTGTTTTTTGGCTTTATGCACCAATAAGCACCGTACATCGCAACGAACGGGCTCCGCCCTCCAACGCTCTATCCAGTTCTTTTTATACATCCATGGCACACACACACGTACAGTCATAACAAGTCCGGTCAATGACTCCAATGAAACCCGTTCCACACCGTCCACAGTCTACGACATCACAGACATACAGAGGGGCACTAGTCGTCCCGATACTGACTGTATGATGCCGTCTAACTGCATCATAATACCTGCTGGATTGGGCTTTTGAAGCCGGACATGGCAACAAAGCAGTGAGCCATATTTTAGGCTAGAGCTTTGCCCTGCTTGAACTACCTTTTCGGGTCTGCTCTTTGCATTCTATTGCACTCAATTGATAGCCCACTGACGTCCAACTGGACATCCAGTTACTGCCCCCATCACAGTCTCACTCAAGGTACCTTTGGCAACTTGATGCTCAAACTCTCACAGTTTCCTCAAGGGCATCTCAAAAGTTGTGGCTAACATGTTTGCGATAGCAGGCTTCAGAGTTCTCCCACCTCTGGGATACCCCAGACAATACAGTGGTTATATTAAGGGCCACAAATGGCTCGCATTACAGTCAAAAGCCCACTTCATACTAACTTGGAAGCTTTGAATTCATGTCAGGAAGCTAAAGACAGTGATCACAGATATGAAACTGCTGCGTTAGCGATAACAGGAGGCTGCCATCGACATACATTCAGAACTCATCTCAGAATGTTTTTACTTTTACACATGCAGATAAGTATTGACTGTTATTCTTACTTTTGCCATTGAAATGTTTCCTTTGTTCCCACGGGGCGAAGCACACATTTAAAAAGCCACAGACAAGTAACCAAGAATTAATCGCAAAGATCAAAGTGCCTCGACTGCAGTTAAAGAACATTCACATGCAAGTATGACAAAGAAAGAGCTTGGAAAAGAAAGGGCGAGGTGTGAGGCCTGGAGGAGGATAATAACATGCAAGTCAAGGCGGAGGACGTGGGAGACGGGAATGTGAAGCCAAGTTGGGAACTTGAAATACATTACAAAACATGACGATGAAAACAACACTATCCGCCGTTGTGTCTTGCAACAAAGAATAAAGCTGGACAGTTGAGAAAAGCATGGGTTTTGACATCCGATTGGCCCAGAGAAAAGGGGGGAACTTTCTGGGACAGCGGTCAACAAACTTAGCCCAGAATCAGATTGAACAACCGGAGTACAAAGAACAAAACCGTTTCACATCTCTCCAACAACGTCCTTCCCCTGTCTGTCATGTGAGCTTGGACATAACCTGTAGCATCTGGACTAAATTTGCTCCCTACGTGGCATGCCAAGCCTGCAAATCATGTGGATATAGGACTTGACCAACTGTCAGTGGACATGCCAGGATGTCCCCGCGTGGTGTCCCACGCGTTTGTGCGCACAGCCAAGTGTGAGAGACAGCGAGAGGGGTTGCCATGTTAACATTTCATGATAGGTGCATGCATCCAACTATGGCTAAACTGGAGGGGGGGGGATTTGCAAACCCAAATTACTCTCTTCACCCAGGGGAAGAAGAGCTTGTGTTAGTGCTGTGGAGTCTCGGGGAGAAAGAAAGACAAAAGACACATCTTCTAAAGGCTGGTTGAGTGTTAACGTTTATTGGCGTAACACTTGTAGCCTGAAGGCTTTTAACAATCCATTAAGTCGGGATACAAGATCAGAATGAAAGGACACCGCTCTCGCTCTCTCTCTCGCTCTCTCTCTCTCTCTCTCTCTCTCTCTCTGTTAGAATCTCCTCTGGCTGCCCACATTGTTGCCTGTGAACTAATAAGATCTCCTTCTAATGAACGGAGCCTCGGAGCATTTGCTGCTTTGGCAATAATGGCACTAGTGATACTATCAGGATGCTCTAAAGTGAGGATTTTCATGTCTCAAGTCACTGGAACCCTAAAAACACAAAGGTTTGGCTATGAGCCCACTCTGAATATGTGCTTTGACTTCTTTGGGAAGATCTTTTGTAGTCATTTGACTTACATATTGAATTACATGTGTATGCAACCTTTATAAGGAGATAACAGTATTAGAGTTGACTCATTTTAAACTAATCTTGTGGCCTGTACTCTCTAATTGTACTACCATGAAATCAAACTATTTTGTTTGGTGACACTGCTTTCTCAGCTGAACTGTTAGCCCACTTTGAGAACGTGAACAAGCCCAAATAGGGAAACAAATAAGGGTTATTCAGCTGAGATACATATTTAAAGTGAAAATTCCCCTTTGAAAAAAC